ATGGGTACGGCTGGCATTGCCAGAGCGACTGGCACAGCTTCAACCACTGTAGGTGCCACAGGTCCTCCTAACACCTCCTGCTCAAACCTACAAGAGAAGCATGCATACTGTCAGAAACGTCCTATGCTACACACTCCAAACACTACAACACTGCCCTGAGAGCAAATAAACAGCTGGAACTGAACATGAGAGAAATCAAATGTGAAGAACTCACAGCGCCATCTCAGCCTCCATCTCCTTCAGGCGCTCCTCTCCAGATTTTAACGCCATACTAAGTGTTATCTGCAATACATAAAAAAATAAGTCAATAAATATATAAACAAACAAACCTCAATAGACAAATCAATGGCTGTGCCTCAAATCAAATCGCAGCAAGCTGCTTGTCTAGCATTTTGGAAATGACAAGCCTGTTTCATCTGCACCTTTATGGCCAGAAATGCTGCACACTCCTATGATGATTAAAAAGCAAACCCATGCACTCCAAACATGCTGCACGCGCTTGAAATTCAGTTCACTACGTTTTGAGAGACAACCAATGTATCTACAGTACAGAAAATAAATAAGAACAGAGATCAAGAAGCCGTGTGTGGTAAACTGTGCGTAACCGTCTAGATTAAAGAAATAAACACTGTTTGAATCGATTACTTATTAGTAAATGATCGAGAAATAATGTTTAGATGCCACATGATTCTGTTGTTTTAAAGCTCCGGAGTCCGGACTGAATTAAACATTACCTACAGCCCCGCTACAGTAAGCTAGCTTTAACTAAATACATACTCGCCGTGAAATCTGTCCTGATGAAGAAATTCAAGCAAATATGCGGGAATACAATAAAAAGACAGATGAACAGAACTGGACTATTTGTTTTCCTCGACGTTACCGCTCCTCCTGGCGCGGATGAAATGCGTCACACGAGTCCTTTGGTCCTTCTTCAATGAAGGCGCGGGAAAGTGAGATCATGTTAGGTCTTCTTCTTCTTCTACTTGTTCAATGGCCGGTCACTCCTTAGGAGTATTACCGCTACCTACTGTATATCTTGCGCACATGGGTGATGAATTTTTTTT